TCTTATATTTCAGTGCCCACATGCCCACAGACAATCAATCAATCGATCAATCAATCAATCTTTATTCAAACAACTAGCAGACGACAGTCTGAATTGAGTTGTTTTTACAGTTCATAGAATTGACGTTAAACAACACTAATAGTTTAAAAATTACATAATTTACAAGTTAATGACACAAATTCGGTAGGGAGCTATAATAATGCCTATTTACACAAGTAGAGGTAAAGGTGAATGCTAGCCGAACTCAATGCCCTCTTAAGTAAAAGCAGCTAAGAACTGTATTTAACTAGCGTTTAACAGCTCAACAATGTAGGGAATGGGCGATTTTTTGTACCGTTCTGTGCGGCAATACGGAGTGTCAAACTTATGTGCAGAACGTGTGCTTCTACCAGAGATATTCTGCCTTACTGGGGGCAGCCATTCACGAAAGTCAGAGTTCAAGAGAGATTCTGCAAATGTTCTACAAATTGTGCGGCGACGATCGGCCAGGGAGCTGAGGCCAGACGCGCCATGCCTTCAATTAATTGATGCAAAGCTTGATTAATCTTTTTTTCATCCTTTGTAACAACTTATTGAAGGACAACAAAGACATTCTATGTTGCTGAAACACTTTAATGTTTACATAAAGCGTTTAGTGCAATATTACATTACGGTATCAAAAGCTGTATTTGTTTGCTTCGAAGTTTTTATATAGTATAACGTTTCATATTTGAATTTAAAAACAAGATATTCGTACTCATGGTAAATGTATACATGTATATACACGCATCTAGAACAGCCCAATGCAGATTTAAAAAATTAAGAAAAGTAAAAAGAAAAGGTTTCTAAGTTCTATAAATTGAAAAAAAAAATCAATGTTTTAATGATGCTTCAGAGCTTAACTTTGTTTTGGCATAAAAAAGGACAAAAAGGATATTTTGTTTTCAAAATAGGATCAGTACCGATCGGTGTTCAAACCCGAAAAAAAAGAGAAAAATTCACCGGCTCCTGGCCTGCACCTTTCCATTGATTTTATAGTCGTTCACAAAAAAAAAAAAAAAAAAAAACTGCTAATATCTTACTGGTTCAATGTCTGACTTTTTTTTTTCTTTTCGTCTTTTACATATTTTTGTATCTTGGCCTCTTTAGGAACTTTCCACAGCTGTTGGCGTCCTGAAAAGTGAATGGGGCAACATGTCAGAGCTGTCCGCCACTGTTGACGCCCTGAAACGCGAAGTGAACAGCATGTCCATCACTATGGACAGCTTAGAACGCGACCTTGGCATCGAGCGGAACCGAAGTGCCGCTTTGGAGAAGCGTCTTCAGGAGATGAGCAAGACAACAGGTACGTTCATAAACTTAGTTAACTTTTTCTGTGTTTAACAGTACTCCACCTAGATTTTTTTTCTCATGTTTCTCTTTCTCCTGTCAGTTTGTAAAATGCATTCAATATTCTTCTTGTTTTTGACAAATTACTAGAAACCCCGTTTGGAGGTACATAAATACTCCAAGACTTTTATTTTTGGTAATTTTTTGGTACAGGATTTCAGAGTCGTTTGATTTGTTTTTTGCCATTTTTCGACAAACAATATATACATTGGGCTATTGAAGGAATACTTGATAATAAAGATCACCGTATGCGGGGATTTCGAGAACAACTCTACTAAAAAGCACAGTGTGAGGAATCAATTGATACTGGAGACCCGGCGACCTGGAAAATGTTGATATAAAACAGTATATTTTGGATTAAACGACTCAGAGTGAAAAGTCCTCAATGCTGTATTTGCTCCCGAACAAATGTCTAGCTAAATAGTTTAACAATATATTTTTTTCTACGAAAGTTGTGAGTAATAATCTGTCGTTATCTAGGGCCATCTGGACCTCCGGGACAGAAGGGATCCATGGGGCCGCCTGGTCCTAAGGGACCCATGGGGCCGGCTGGTCCTAAGGGACCCATGGGGCCGGCTGGTCGTAAGGGACCCATGGGGCCGTCTGGTCGTAAGGGACCCATGGGGCCGTCTGGTCGTAAGGGACCCACGGGGCTGGCTGGACAAAAGGGAGCTGTACAGAAGACCAGGCGAACCTCTTCATTCCGGCGTTTACTTTTAAATAATGGTCTCCTTCTATAATGGTTCACTAGTTTATAATGGTTCACTACTTTGCAATTTTTCACTTTTACGTAATTATGGTTTACTGGCATGTAATGGTTAACTACTGTGTAATTTTTCACTTTTACTTAATTAATGGTGCTTTACAATGTAATTATTAACTACTGTGTATTCATTCAATTTTACTTATTTAATGGTTAACTACTATGTAATGGTTAACTTTAATTGTGTAATTATTTACTTTTACGTTATGGTTAACTACCATGTAATGGTTAACTATTGTGTAATTATTCACTTTTACGTATTTAATGGTTAACTATTATGTAATGATTAAATATTGTGTAATTGTTTACTTTTACGTATTTAATGGTTCACTACTATGTAATGGTTAACTAGTGTGTAATTATTCTATTCACTTTTACGTATTTATAGCTACTATGTAATGGTTAACTACTGTGTAATTATTCACTTTTACGTATTTAATGGTTAACTACCAAGTAATTGAGAATCGACAGTCATTGAGAATGAAAGTCTTGTAAATTAATGAATGAATTCAAGATATTCTTTATTTGTAATAACATAACATTTGTAACGTATCCCCCCGCCAGAACAAAAATACTACAGAACTCTTTCCTTCGCCAGTCAATCAAACTCTATAACCAGACTGTACAAATAGAGTCTGGCACAAGATAATGGACCTTGTAAATATCTGGGTTGTACACCTACTGAACTGTTTTTATAGGTGTTGTAAATATATAGTTTTTTTTACATTTTATCTTGTAAATATCAACGCCATTCAGACAACATTGTATGTCATGTTTGTCTGTTATGTTTGGTATCTTGATAAAGAATTGAATTGAATTGAACAAGAAATCAAACGTTGGAAAACATGTATACACGCGTAATATGCCAGAGAAACGTACTATGTAAAATGTTCTTTATCTGAATTGCGGCAGCATGGTATACCGAGGAGGACTGGGCAGCAATTGTAGATGCAGGAGTTTCAATACACTAATAAAGGCACAGCGATTAAATTTACGTACCTTGTTTTTGGACTACTTGAAACGGATCAGGTATGAAATAATGACGAAAATGTGCTAAGAAATAGCAGTAAATGTCGATATCTATGATACAGATGATACAGTGTTGTTGAAGATATCTCTTCCGATCCGACATAACATTTGGAAACTACAGACGGGCTTATTTGCGACCTTATATGAAACGTTCTTTCAAAGTTCTATGCACAATACATTGGGGGTTTCGCGCAGGTGCAGTACGTTGGCCGACAGCTATGTGGATATGGTTTCGTCTTAGCGGCCTTGACCTCTGACCTTTCCCATAATCCTCTGCTCTACATGTGAGGTCGCTTCTTACATTTCATGACAATTTTACATCTCACAATAACAATTTCCGGCCTCATGAATATTAAAATAAAATATCACATTACATTAATGACACTCCATTAAACACAATGACTAATAACATATCATTAGATAATACAGTATAGAACGAACAAATATGCAACTTTCAGCTGGTAACAATCTACTACATAGTGCGCAATTTTACACCAGTATACATTAAAATGGTTGTTGTGTATCAGATACTTATCTTGTCTCCTCTCTTCATAGTTATCTGGTATCCACATTCCGGCATGGCAACAGACATACTTGCCCATTTTCGGCATGTTGACCACTTTCAGAGGGCAACAAATACATATCTTTTTTCCCAAAAATTAAGCAAAAATTAATGACCGCGCTGATGTCATCATGGTAAAATGCAGCATTTGTTTAAATTTTCTGTCTTTAGCAGTTCGTTGCTGCTGTTGTCTCGCACGATGCCCTGTGGTACTCTTAGCGTTTAACTTACTTCAAGAAAAGGATCTAAAGGATTTAACAATGCACTTACAAAGTGAATTTCTACGTGAAATGATGTAAATCAACTAACCACGATTACATTCAAGTCAAAAATTCATTTCGTATTAATGACAACAAAGTGGCAGCTACATGACTGTCATCTGACCCGCTATAAAAGGACAATTATTATATTTACGGCTGCATTGCGTGTTAATACAAGAGTAGAGACCTTCGAATAGGAAATTCGTTAAGAAACTAGACTTCCACGATCTCATATCTTCGCCAAATTATGTTTATTCTACAACTAAAGAAATTCTGAATGTGTCTCGTCGATTATTGGAATAAGGACGTAATATGCTTGATTTTTTTATATCAGTTGATATATCTTGCATCTCTGACAAAGAAGGCTATTCTAGCACTTTCTTATCAATTATGCAAATTAGGCCCTAATATGTTAAACGATGTTTACATATTCGTATCGTCCAATTATGCTTTTCACAATTAAGCATACACACAGAGGCCCTAAAACAAAACTTTCTTTGCAACGGTATAAAAGAAATGGTATTTTGAGTCCGTATGACTGTATTCGAATAGATTTTAAGGGGGTATTCGTAATTAAAATTCCTGAAGCATTCTTTTTCATTGGATGCTGTTGCGTTTGCATTTCTAATTATATAAATGACTAATAAGGATTATTGAAGAGGGCAAGAATATTTTTATATGTTTAACCTTTGTCCTACTGACATTCCTGGCACAACATTTTTCAATAATTTCTTGTCTTAATTAGATCATAGACCCTCATTTTTTTGCTCTGCAGTGGCATAGTTGCTTCCGCATTCGTTGCGTTTCGCTGCGGTGCGATGCCTTGCACGAGAAATACCCCCAAATTGTACCTATACAGGGTGTTATGGTAATGTATATGCATATAGATGGTATTGTATGTGCAGAACGACAATTGTTGTGCTCCGCAGGACAAGGGTAGTTTTGCCGTTGTTCGTAAACACCAACATGGCGGCGGACACAGTGATGACGTCACACGCCACGTGACAGCCTGTGGCCCTCAGTGATGCAAGTTCAGGGTTACCATGGAAATAACCCCATTGTCTTCACTCGGGTGTATCCTTAAAAAACAGGAGAAAATTAAGTTACTTAATTGGTGTATACAATTACAATGGACTATACTAGCCATGACAACTACTTTTTTTTAAATGTTATTTTTTAACTAACATGCAGCATTATTTTTGGTTTGGTTTATTCAGATCTCAATTATTTAATACATTTTTTCACTATTCTTCCTGGAGTCCAATTAAAACGTACGAAGTATAACAACGGAATATAATAAAATAGTATAACAGACTTAACAGAAAACTAACATAAACTGAACAGAAAATCAACGTGGCATATGCATTTGGTATACATTGTTATGTCTAGAATCCAAACATATCTGATTGATAATGCTCTTGATAATGTGTACTAAAAACATGGTTATCAAGATTATAGACTCTGTATCTGTAACAACATACACACAGCCTATAGTAAATATAGTAATTACTAGAAACATGGAATATGTAACAGACAAGACCCGCGTGCACCCTATGTTATCAACATTATTAGACAAGTTACAGAATATCATGTTGACCTTTACAACTGACTGCAGTTTTAAAATGCTGCTGTAGAAGTTAGGCCTTAATGGACTTAATGGACTAAATCCTATACCACACTATTTTCATATATAAATTCCAACGGGTCTAATATTGAGTCATTTGTTACCTACACTATCATTTATATTTTATAAGTTATAAAACGTTACTTGCAAACATTGTTTTGTAAGTACCAAATCAGAACCGGACCTAGCGTTTTCATTTAAGCCCGCACAAAAAAGGAAGCACAAACTAGATGATTCTAGGAGCAAAAGCAAGTTATTTCGTATGGTGGTAAAAATACAAGTGTGCAAAATGTACTGAGACATGCCCACGTCATAATTACTCTTTTTGTTGGATCACTTTGGATTCATCTACAACAAGACTGGCAATGAAAACATACATTGCAATGGCGACGGTGGTTTCTGATAGGGTTATTGTTTGCATGGCAGTGCCATGATTTCATAATTTTGATGAAGTCTTGGTACGAGTACCCTCCCCTCCCCTAAGTGTACAGTAAATGATCCCCAAGGTGACAGAAAGTAGGGCATCCGGGGCAGACAGGTTTTCCCAAGGGTTTCCAGGAATGTGGGCATGTCAACAAACAGAGCTGGGGGACATTCCTGTGGGCATTCAATGCCTGTAGAAAGAAATTTTTATACAATTCCTAGAATTCTTGCAAATTGCACACAATACTGTATTATTAGGATCCTCCCTTAGACGTCACCAAAAAATAGATCGCTATAACTATTAACCGACCCTATTCTTTTGAAGACATTTCGTAGAAAACACAGGCCTGACCTATGATCGTCAGCATGTTCCTCGTCATCTTCAATGCCAGGATTCTGACCCTTCATCATGGAGCAGATGGCACTTCGGAACCGCCGGTTAGCGATGATGTAGATGATGGGGTTGTACAGGGCCGAGGACTTGGCGATGAGCGGAGGCAGCAGGGTGAGCCAGGCGGGGATGTCGTCAGGGTTTCCCAGGGCGGCGAAGAGGAACAACACGGAGTAGGGTGTCCAGGCCACCACAAACGCTGCCACCATGGCCAGGCACATCTAGAGGAATAGAGTAAGATCCATTTATCTTGCACCAATGCAGAAATTCCGTCAAAATAAGCGCTTTGAATCAGACGATACAGCCCTAACAATAACGTCTCTGTGTCAGCGCTCCAAGCTACACCTAATTACCGCAAAGTTGTGAGATTAAGCATGTATTAAAACATGCGTTGAGTTTCCCTTATACCTGTCCAGTTGAGTGAAAAATCGAAACATTCATGCATGCTTTCAGGTATGCAAAAAAATAACAAACACAAATGCTCACACACGCACACACAAACGCACGCACATACACACACACACACACACACACACACACACCACTTAAAATGTTTACATTATAACACTAGCATGCACAAAAGATATGGAAACCTTAAGGTCTGATGCAGTAGCAAGGTCTAGAAAAATATCTAATCAAATGGAAAGCCAAGTAGGTTAATTGTCTGAATTAAGTACTAGTAATAAATAACAGTAGTAGTAGAATGGTTCTTTTAATTCTCTAAAAAATACAGCCCAGTTGCAGCCCGAAGGCCAAATTGTCAGGCTTGTTCACAAACACAGTCAGGTCTTGATACTTCTACAAATACATACTAAAATGTAAAAGATCAACTTATTTATCACATATACATATATCATTTTAGTCAGATGATATAGATAAAATTTGAGAACACAAGAATCACTCTAAACATTGACAGTCAAATGGCTAAAATAGACAATTACCATGAAACCATATTTCGTCTTGGTGTTAATGTAAGTGTATCAAACCCTACAGATAGGCCTTACGCAGCATTTAACTGTTATATACAAACCCGCTGTGTTACCCTAAGGACTGTTTACCGGTTATATAAAGCAAACAAAATTTACCTTTGAGAAATGGTTCTGATACTCCCAGTCAACATTCATGGCGACTGGAAAGGTCAGATCTCCTGCAATGTCTCCCTTCAGCACCTTGCTGACAAAGCAGCTGGCCTACGTACACACAAAGTACAGCGTTTTATATATTAAGAATGAATGAATGAAGACCTTTATTGCACATTTTTGCCACACTTGGCTAAGTGCAGGTCACAACAAAACAAGATGAATGGATACAGTTAACAGATACAAAAGTAACTACCGTTATGTAAATTCAACTTGTCGTTATTTATTGAGGAGATAAAGGAACAGATCTGTTTTTCGATGGGTGGTTTGTCTACTTGCATTAGGAATATAAATTTTTCTCAAGTGTATGAAATACGGAAATAGGTTCTGTATAGACCTATACAGTTCGTTTCTATCTTTGCTGTACAGTTCACACTTTAGTAAATTAAAGGCCTAGGGTGCTTTTCATGGGGCGTCGGCAGAGCAGAGTGTTTTTCCGCCAAACATGGATATTTCATGTTTTTTGGTAGATATTCGGTCAAAGTTCGGTCAGAATTTTCTCCGTTTCAAACTATTTTTTCCAATACAACTTTTGAAACGTATTGACGCGATGTCATCCTTACATACACGACTACGACTCCTTCTGCCAAAGTGCTACACGCAATACGTATACATTGCGAGTTTTGCGCATGCCCCGTAGGTTTGCCAACGAGCTTGTTTGCACTCAGGTGACTTCATGACGTCATTACTGTGCGCCATGTTAGATGGCTAAAACCCTAAACTCGCCAGGTGGACCTAAACTGCAATTACAGCTATGTAATCATTATCGGCCAATGATGTAGCATAGCATTAATGGCAAATCCATGCATAATGCCATTTGAACAACCCCTGTATTATATACGTAAGAAAACATATTAGGGACTGTATAGACGTTAGTAATTCCTGTGGTGATTGTAAAAAATCATTTTTATTCAATACCACACACTCTTGTATTAGATAAATTATACCTTGTGGAACTGTAGTTATGTTCCAGTAGATGCCGTATTTTTATTATTATTGTTCTAATAAGTTTATTGATAAATTATGTAGCCAGAGTACAGGGGTGCCAGAGTATACAGTGCAATTTTGCGGAATGCAGTGCAAGTTTACTAGACAGTATACAGTGCAATTGGTGTAACCTGGACCCGGTTTTCCAGGGACGCCGCTGACATATTTCTATGTTTTTCGAGCGAATTCGGACCGTTCTCGTAGATAGAACTTTAGTAAAATCACTACATACTACACACATGGCATGTTACTGCATAGGGATCGCTCGAAAAAGACAGAAATATGTGAATCAGCGGCGTCCGCCATCTTGAAACTCTAGTTACACTGTATTCTAATACGATTGCACTGTATTCCGTAAAGTTGCACTGTATACTAGTACATGTAAACTTGCACTGTATTCCGTAAAATTGCACTATATACTCTTGCACCCCTGTTTACATGTACCTGCCAGTAGCAGAACGCCATAACGGCGAGAGGGAGGAGAAATCCCAGGACGAAGCAGCTGCTGACGTAAGAGATGTATAAGCTGTCGTTCTTCCGAAAGTTGATAGTGCATGCCGTCCCTGAAAAATAACATGGCAGGATAAGAACGTGTCATTGTGTCTTTCACAGTTGTTGGTATAGGCAATATCGACTTACAACTGTTTTTCAGTGGTGTCGTGTGGCGTAACGGCAGAGTGCTCGACTCGGAATTAAGAGGTCCCGGGTTCGAGTCCTGACAAGCCACCGATCTTGTGGCCTTAGGAAAGGCCCTTTACACGACTCCCCTCACTTCGCTCAGGTTGAAATGAGTATTGTATTGTCCCCTGTGTTGGTGGCGGCATTAATATAAGTTGAAAAAACTTGAGTGTGCCGTCACCATGTATTTTGATTACATGTAGAAATAAAAAAGGCAATTTTCCGGGTGGCAATATTCTGAATGAGAAAAATCTTATTGATATAAGGAAAATTACTGCCATTTCTTAGCAGGTTTATGTCATTGTATTCTTAAGTGTTTGAAATAGGCTAAACTTGAACAAGCTAGGCGTCTCTTTATTTTCAGATACCACCTATAAAAAGCTAAAACTAGCCTACCATAGCCTCTACCAGGCACCGCGGATCGTTGGAAAAATATTAGAAATTGGCCGAAATAAAGGGATAGTATACCAGAGAAGATTCAGGGCCATAGAAGCTCCAATCCGTGGGTCGCAAATTGGAGCTTCTATGGCAATGGATCTTCTCTGGTATACTATCCCTTTATTTCGGCCAATTTCTAATATTTTTCCAGCGATCCGCGGTGCCTGGTAGAGGCTAAGCCTACCATACAAAGAAAGCTTCAAAGATCTTGTTTTTTATAAACCACTCGATTGCTAACCTGAAGGCTCCAGGGCGTACTCTGCCCAGCCGACCAGCGGCAGCGCTGCCCAGAAGGCCGCAAACAGCCAGCCCATGGCCGCCATCACTCCGTAGGTGTTGTAGTTTACTTTGTCGACTGAAATGAAGAAAAAGCTGCTGTGTTACGCCGAAGGGCGGTTATACTGGCTATAATCGTCAGAACTTCATTGTTGTACTCGTACACCACATGTTTTTTTAAAGTAAGACGCTCCTTTTAATGTACCATTAACGATTTTATAATGTATAAAATGTATTCTATAATGTATAATGTTTTTAACGAATGTTACAATTGACGATATTCAGCCTGGTGCTGCGAAGTCGGTTGAGAATAAACCATTTGATTGATTGATTGATTAATTGATTGATTGATTATAATGATACAGATACAGAATACTATTAAAATGATTAAAATGTTCTCTCCACATCTGTATGTAATTTGTGTATTTGTCTTGTTTTTGTAGTGTCCCTGTTTTTATATGGACCTCTTGCCTGAAGCAAAAAATAAACAAATAAATGAATAAAATAAAAGGCACCCAAAGCTACTTCAGGGCATAAAACTAGAGTTTCAAATTTTCTGGTATTTTTCAGAATATATGCTATAATGGAGTGGCTGTGGTTCTGGTCTGTATGTAGATCAGCAACGTAAGTCAAAAGTCCGTGAAGAAGTCAGTATCTTAATTATATTTTGTAGGCAAGTATGCGTAGCGGTTGGGAAAACGAAGGTCAAGTTCGAAATGAGTTCGAGTTAGTTTGCTTGAGTGCTTGTATGTCGAAAACATAACTCAAGAAACTGTGATGGTTTTACATGAGGTTTAATGGATAGGCAAAGGTTGCTAATAGGAAGGTGATGTTCGAAAATGGGCCTCTCACCTTGTGGGGCCCAGGCAAAAAAAAAAAAAACAGAACTCACCAAGGTCTTGTCGGCAGATGACCAGGTACCGGTCCACGGCCACACATGTCAGCAGTCCGATATTAGCCATGCCGAAGAACATGCCATTGAAGCCGTACCACTGGCAGCCGACACCCCCAAACAGCCAGTGGGACTAATGGGAAACATAGGGTAAATACAAATCAGTCAGATGACTTAGATATCATTAAAGGGGGCATTACACACATGTATGAAACATTTTGCACTAAAATTAAGAACAATTGAATTATGTGATTGTAATTTCCCCCTACTTTTCAACAGTTTTATGCTATCATATCATGATAATGACATCTTAGATTGGCACTTAGACACAGCCCAATCGAGGCGCACTTAGTTTGATATACCACCACAAAATACTAGAACGCAAACAAATATGGCTGATAGCTGTGTTTTTGGCTTTTAAATATAATAGTAAGGAGCCATATGTTGACACATCCACTTCCTGAATGTCGCTTGTTTGCGATGGAGTAAGCTTAATTGAAACCCTTGTCCTGCGCAGCCCATACATGTATATGGGTTGCAAATACAGTACCATCCACATATATGTAGCGCCCTGTATATGTACAATTTGGGGGTATTTCTGGTGCAACGCATCACACCGCAGCTGAACGCAACGAATGCGGAAGAAACTGTGCCACCGCAGGGCATCAAAAGTCATAAAAAGTCTATGACCTGTTTAAGACTTCAATTTTTTTTAGAATATTCTTTTCAAAATGCCAGCAGGACAATGGTTAAACTTACTGTACTCAGAAATGACAAGCAAATTAACTTTTTTTTCGTTGTAATGCAACATAATGCAGCTTTAGGCCACACCAATTTAATTTGTTGGTTCTCGGATTTTTTCAGAAAAAATATGAAGCGACAGGGCGAAAAATTAAAATAAAAACAGGTCTAGGCATCCTATTATAGCCCCAAATGCTACGATATGAGCCATGAAGTCAACAAAAAAGGCTGGGTTAAAATTTAAAGTATAAATTTTGAACTTTTAATCAAACCACTGCATTGATAGATATAGAAAATCTGTAACAACTAGGACGAAAAGGAATTTCCTCAACTGTTGGGGGCAAAATATGAGCATTTTTGAGTTGATTCAGAACCAGAATCTTTTTTTTTTTTTTGCAAATCAGAAAAAAATGAAGAGGCGAATCCGAGAACCAACAAATTAAATTGGTGTGGCCTTGCGAAGTCCAGTGTGATAAATTCACTGATAAATGCATCTACAATTCTAAAATCTTCATCTATAAGTGAGAAATGAAAAACCCATTCAGGGACTGCCCATCTACAAGCCAGAGGCAAGACCCTGTATTTAGTATTCGCTCCCATCAATGGAAAATGGGCTTTTAACGTGCTTAGCAAAAGAATTTAATTCCACTTTGATCGCCCCAAATGTATTTCCACAAAACCAGAGGCTTCTACTCTCCATGACAGAATCTGTGAAAATCTGTCACCCAGTCAACGCTTCAATTCAAATTAATACACAGTCATCACCATCTCTCCAAATATAGCAAACGAACGGCAACCGTACCTAGCTGTCCATTCTATGAAGACAGAGTCATTTTCCTCCCGGCAATATATGCGTGCAATTATGGTTTTCAATGCCTCTTTACGGATTGTAACCTACTCAATGGCATACAGCATTTTCACTTAGTGTAAACTGATTGCATTTAATTGAGTTGTAGCCCATAAGGGGGCACACCCCAGTATATTTGGCGTCTCGATTGGAAGCTGCACACCCTCAAATCTAGCGACCGTCTCTGGCGTGGAATTATTCGGAATGAGAATAACTGTATATGGGACGAAAGGATATCTCTTCAGCTACAAGACCAGCTGAGTTTGTTTCTTCAACCTTTTTAAGTTTGGTAAAATCAACGGAAAAATTATTTTTTTCACTCCAAAATTAATGCCCAAAATTGCGAATTTTCGCGTAGGATAATCCCATAGAAAAAACATTTTCCGGCAGAAATGACTGATGCTGGCAGAAAGACCCAAGCCTTGAGTTCACCCGAGTAAATTATAAAGAAATTTCTAGTACTGTAATTTTCTAAACAGTCCACGGCGCGAGGGGTTGCAAATGCACCCCTACGAAGGCGCAGAGCGAAATCTAGGTCAAACAGGCGGATTACACTTGGCGCGCAAGGATACCCGGAAGTAAGGTTCGGAGCCAAAAGAAATTTTAGCCCCAAAAACACCATTTCTTACATTCTTCAGCCATGTTAATGTTTAATGATACTTCGTGGCAGTTTATGAGAAATGTCACCTCAAACTTGGACACTCAAAACCCTTTCGTCACTTTTTTTACAACGGACTATCACGCCCCGGCCGCGCAAGAACTGGGGTGTGCGTTTGGGCATCTAGACTATCTTTTCATCAATTTACAAATTTAGAGAACCTCATTTAGTGTAGCAGAAGTGGGGTCGTGTGGCGTGACGGCAGAGTGCTCAACTTGAAACCAAGAGGTTCGCGTCCTGACATGCCACCGATCTTGTGCCCTTGGGAAATGCACTTTTACACGACTCTTTCCCCTCTTAACTCATGTGAAAATGAATATTGTCTGTCCTGTATTTGTTTCTATGAGTAGCAAATTACACATGTACAACAACATGTGTGGTCGTGTGGCGCAGTCGGTAGCGCGTTCGGCTCACACCCGAGAGGTCGTGGGTTCGAACCCTGCCCAAGTCACCGATCTTGTGCCCATGGGAAAGGCACTTTACACGACTTTCCTCACTTCACTCAGGTGTAAATGAGTACCTAGCTTCGGCTAAGGACGTCCCTCGGATAGGACGTTAAATGGAGGTCCCGTGTTTGGGAGAGCCACACCCCACGCACGTTAAAGAACCCACCGCACTTATCGAAAAGAGTAGGGGACCTTCCCGGTGTGAGTGGTTCAAGCCTTACAGTCTGGTCTCGGGGTTGACATCTTTGAAGAGGTGATAGTCACCTGTTATGTCAATCCTTCCACAAATGTGGTAAATCGTCATAAAAAACATCTCCACGTGTATTGTATTTTCACAATTTCAATAAATCAAATCAACCAAATCAATAGAATATCTGAAGATTACTCGTACATGGTTGATGGCTGATACAATCTCGAAAACGCTGGTTATGACTGAGCTATATCCAATTGAGTTGCAAATCAGGGACACAAACTATTGCTATAAAATGTTAAACGCTGTATTATATTATCTTCGTACCTTCGTATTATTGGTGGATTGAAACCGCGAACATTTTGAATGCATTGAGATCTTTATATTTAAAAATATAAATTTCTTTTAACAAATACACAAGAGTGACAAAATGCAATTCATGATTTATATTACCAGAACATAGAAAAACAATCTAATCTTAGACTATTAGACTCAGTATTAAGATACCTTAAACAGCTGCGATTGGATATAGCGTCAATTTTAAAACAGATTCTATATTCTATAGTAAATATAGATTCTACGGTAAAACGTTGAACTTTATTTCAACACACAATTTACAGAGAGATCAAATTTTCAGCGACCACTGTCGTCTTCATCAGGATAATTAATGACCAATCACTTCACAACGTGATCTCGCGAGAGTTACTGTTTAAAAACACGTGACCTTATTTACACGAGACTTTACTGATACATGACGTAAGCAATTGATCCAGAGTTATAAATGATGCCCAACACTTGTGTATAACTTGCAAGAACTACCGACACGAGTGCTACAGAAATCTTAGACCTTACCCTCAGACTGGAGGCCCCGGAAAACGGGTAGCCGAAAATACAGATGCCCAAATCTGCTATGGCCAGATGTACGAGTAGCATGGTGGTCGGTGACCTCAGGGGGCGGAACTTCGTGAATGTTGCCAGAGTGACGCCGTTTTCAATGGTACCGATGATACCTGGAAAGGATGTATCAAGGTTTAAAAACACATCATTTTTATGATGATGTTGTTTTATTTGTTTCCCGTTTTTAATTGTGGTATAACAGAATCAAAACTAGACAAGAGAGACAAGAGGTTTCTTAACTATTTTCTCGACGTTACTGAGACATAGACAAAGGAAATGGGACAGAAAAAGGATGTGCCAAGCTACCCACGACAGGTTACTGTCCAAGTGCTCCCACCAACCCACTCCTGCCAACTTGACACATCAAAATAAAATAATGACATAAAAGACAGACCTTTCACAAGGAGAGAATGGCACGACTAGACCGGAACGGGGGGTTAAAACCGCAGACGTAGTTTTCCCCCTATGGCCTTCGCCCAACGTACTGAAGTACACCGTTGAGCTAGTTTTATTTGTTTCCCTTCTCGGAAGGAAGTCATGTTGTTTTTGTTCACTTTTTTCCCCAAGCACACAAGGTCAATGGCCAGGACCAGACGGCTGTAACCATGGTAATTTGTGCTATGGAAAAAAAACGTTGCGGTAATGTTTGATCACGTTATATAGCAACGTTGGAGGTCGCTAGGCCATGTAAGGGTAGTAATGCATGATTGCTCTGCAATGTTACCTTTCTAGTTGTATTTATTGGCAATACTACAGATCATTTCAAGGCTCAGCATAGGCAGACTCGGAAAAAAAAACATTAAAAAATGTAGGACGTATAGCTGAATATTTATGTTAACCTATTTGTTGGCCCAATACAGAAAACACTGTCCCAGAAAGGAGACTTCTTCAGGCGGAATCGTTATATAAACACGTGACACAAAGGCACGTGCGACCTGGACGTCACCATGTTTGGGCCGGCAGGAGAGATCAAGAAACGTTTGTCTACGTCACGATGACGTAAAAGGTCATTCATGACGCACGTGTGCACGTGTTGTCCAGACCAATTTACTGGAAGATATCACTAAGGCCACACCAATTTAATTTGTTGGTTCTCGGATTTTTTTTTTCATAAAAAATATTAAGCGACAGGGTGGAAAAATGAAACAGGTCTAGGCACCCTGTTATAGCCCCAAATGCTACATGTATGATGTTAACACAAAAGTCTGGGTTAATATTTAAACAATGAATTATGAACTTGTAATCAAAGTACTGCATTCATAGATGGAAAAACTGTGACAATAAGGAAGAAAAGGACTTTCCTCAACTGTTGGGGCTAAAATATGAGCATTTTTTTTAGTTCATTCAAAACCAGAATCTTTATTTTTATATTTTGCAAATCAGAAAGAAAAGAATAGGCGAATCCGAGAAACAACAAATTAAATTTGTATGGCCTAAATTGTGTCCTCCACGTTGCTTTAATGAGGAGTTTTTCATTTTTTCTTCGAAATGTATAGAATACAGAATTAAGGTCGCAGTACACAGTATTTTTGGTGAGCCTTGTAGTCAAAAGTAGTCCGGGCACAAAGTAGTTCGGCACAGTACTTGAGACCAGACCAATTTACAGGCAGTCCTCACTAAAATGAATCCTCCGTGCTGCTTTAATCAGGAGTTTATTATTATTATTATTACACAGTATTTATGGGCGAATCCTGTAGTCAAAAGTAGTCCGGGCACAAAGTGACCTAATGGCCAGGCGGAAACACAGACACACACACGGACACACATACACTGACATACCAAAAACAATTCCTACATTTTTATTTAGGAACAAAAATATCAGACTAAATTATTCATGATTTTTTTTACCATGTAGACATTAGTTTCTTATTTGGGAAATATCCGATATACTACCCAACCTAGCCGACCTAGTTTTGCTATACAAGTCATGCCAAATGCGGGTACATATACCTAATACATACATGCCGCCATTAGTCAAAGGTATGACCGCTAGTGACCTATTAAACCTCATGCGTTAGGAATCGTGTGACTTAAAAACCTTGTGCTGCCAGTTGAATGGTAAATTGACGTACTGTACATTGTCGACTGAATATAAGTAAAGTATCAATGCTTAGAAAGGTAACATAATGCACATCAATTGATGTTTTTTTGTGTAAAATTTCCTTAAATATCGTTCGTTGTATTATTGTTATTATCATATTATTTTCTTAATTATTAGATGAAAAATGTTAGCCAGACAAGTAGTTATAGCAGTAGTTATATAATTTATGTAAGAGAACTCCAGGAAGAGTAGTGGTTGTATTATGGGAGATTCCTTTGTAAATTTAAGTTGATAAACAAACATAAAACCAACATTTGCCAATAAGATGCATAGTTGTAACAAACAAATGCTTTCTTTATTTTCATAATCGAGCATATATATATGGTGACAGGAGACCAACTCTGTCCTACTGCTTGCTACATAATGTTTGTGATACGTATGTCATCATTCTTTTTTTCCAAGGATTTTTCGGGAAGAAAAGCTCATTACTTGTGTAGTTGATGAGAAATGGGTTAAAAAATAGCCGTAACTACGTGTACAGCTTCATATCTGTTTGTCTTCTTTTTTAATCAATTTATTATGTAACTGCTGGGGTCTCTGATCGAGTTAAATAACAATCCAGGAACAACCAATCCCCAATTAGAGAGTAGAGGATGTACAGCGATCAAGTCGGTCTTAAGAAAATACTGACAGCTTCAATTTCCAGTTAAATAGTATGCAAAAAAATATTAATGAAGTAATGCAGGCTTATCTTTTAAATGAAGCCACATATGATTGCGAAAAACCAGACGCTTGGGCGATCTTGCCTTGCTACTGGGAAAGTGTGCCTTTATTGTCATTGTTTACGGAAAAGATTATACAGTTTTGTTTTTCAAATGATTGTTGATCCCATCTTTATCCCGGACTACATTCCTATTCCAAATATACTACTCACCCTTGTATTACATTTTTTGTACATGTAGTTATTTAGCCACGTGGAACTTATATGCTATACTCTGTACTATAAAAAATCGCTGTGCAACAATCATTTATTAAAGTGTTGTTTTACAAATTAGTGAAAGTGTTGACATGATAGGGGACTTTCTTCAAAAATGTGAACGTGGAGTCTGGAAAGTTTGGTTCGATCCACTCACGACGGGACACCTACTCTTTTGGATAAACGAGGGTAGTTGCTTTGCTCGATGTGCGGCTTTTCCAAAACAGGGGACCGGCGACTTTATACCACCAGAAAGGACGGCCCAAAATTCCAGGTCACACATTCACGACCTTCCCTGAATTTGTTCCTGAACCAGGTTTGGCTGACGCTTGGAAGCAATCAGACCATAATTAGGCCACGCCTACCTTTCTATACCAATCGAAACGAATTTGAATTGATTTTGAGTCAAAATGAAACCGCGACCAGTGCTAGCTTAATGGTTGGCTGGCGTTCTTCTGACATTACACACGAATGACAGTCAACCACAGCCGAACCTCCCGAGCAATGCACGAATATTTAAAACATTTTAAACGCTTGGCTAAATAGTAGCGGGATTCGCCAAAGACCAGCCGGCTTTGCCCCAACATACTCCTAACCATGGTTGGGGGGCGTTCGGCTAGTGTTCGGGAGGCCGAGTTCCTGAATGTTTCACAGGGGTCATTTTGACGTCACTGTTGTTGCCAGGGGCAACATAAGTCTTAGCAGACATTAATATTCTATCATAGATACTTTTTATTAAAGTTTGGTTGTGTTCCTCTGAGTTTTACGAAAAAAAAAATTGACGGTTTTACCCCGAAAAATATATAAATGACGTAAAAATTCCACAAACGTTGTTGTTATTAATTTTTTTTTATTTCATTACTACACCATTCTCTGAAAATTTGGTGGCCCTACAATAAGTGGTTGTTGAGTTACAGGGGGCGGGCCTCAAAAGACCCCCCCCCCCCGGTCTAAGCATGCCATGCATGCCCAAAAAAGCCCGGTCCCGGTTGAACCTCGTACCTATTTCCAGCTGAGTAAAGCCAGGAATTATATTCTTTCACATTTCCAAATGTGACAGCTTTTGACGTTAGCTAGAAACCTTTCAAATATAAGTCTACACTATCTATCTACCAGATTGCCCTGACACCATTAGCCGCTATGTGACATGAATAACATGATGGAGTGTCCATACATTTGGGACAACATGTCAAGGGACTTGTTATCGTGTGTCCCAGACAGCAAATTAAATTTTTTGCAACATGAACCAAATATTTTCTGTACTGCGTGAGTCTACCTAACTATTTCGTTTGTAACTGTTCAAACAGTCTTGTTCAAACAATTGCTTTAAATGTGATGTTCCCTTCGTTTGTAAATGATATGAATATCATTTTGTGCCAAATGTACTTTTACTGTTATTTGTAAAAATGTATTTTATTTTTATATGAACCCTATAATACTAGTTATTTTGCTAAAGGTATCGAAATGAGGACAATGTATTGAGTTACGTTGTATATGATTTTCCCTCTTCAACGGTGAATATGAAAATTGAAGCCGGTCGAAAGAAATAAACTAACCTACACGTGAGAGGCTAAACTGAATTGCGTTTGGTAAAGATGTATTTTACTAGTTTCTTCTCTCTCTCTCTCTCTCTCTCTCTCCTCTACGTCTCTCTTTGTTTCTCTCTTTCTTTCTCTCTTTCATTTTCTCTCTTCCTTTCTCTCTTGCTTTCTCTATTTCTCTCTTTCGTTTTCTCTTCCTTTCTCTGTTCCTTTCTCTATTTCTCTCTCTCTTTCTTTCTCTCTCTATTACTCTCTCTCTCCTCTCTCTCTCCTCTCTCTCTCGGGCAAAGGTTGTCCGGTCAGATTTTGCTGAAAGCTTTGCTACCACAAATAAAAGGAAATGAAAGGAGTAGACCCATGTTTTATTCATTAAGGACAGACCAGCTGTTTTGTGATTGAATTTTCTTTCACTCCATTTAACGAAGCCATGATTACCACCTGATGCCACTTCCGCTACACCCCCCCCAAAAAAAAGAAGGTATAAACAATTTTGTCTCGTGGATACAATGAAGCAACTAATGCGTCATTTTAAAGGCATTTAACACAGTTTTAGGTCGACAAAATAGATAAAAAATTAATATTTTGGATGAGGAAATCTGTCTGAAATTGATGTTTAATGTCATTCTTTGTTTTCATCATTTCATACTTGAAGCATTTGAAGCAGTACCCAAACAAGCGACATGATGAGTCCTTTTCTTTCTATGTACCAGCAATAAACCGCTAGGACTTGTTTACAGTACAAAACAAACTACGCTTTTTCGTCAGCGACATCGCATTTTTTTAGCCTAATAGATATTTTAAGATCTATACCAGTGGGTATGTTTGTACAATAAAGGTCTTTATTCATTCATTCATTCATTAAAATATGCTATATTGGATATATAGGGTTGATTCAACTTACTATCAAAAAAGTGACCAAGAAACTACTTTGAAAAACTGCCCTTACATCGCTTTGGTACCTTTAACTACTCAAATCCCAAATCCAAACCTCAAAAGAGGTTTGGATTTGGGGTTATTTTTGGTGTGTTTTTAGGCTTCTTCATCGGGGTTTCTCTTTTGCACTGAATTTTATTTTTGATGGGAAAAATCTCAGTGCAAAAGAGAAACCCCGAAAAAAAAGCCTAAAACACGCTACAAATAACCCCAAACCCAAATCTCTGCTTGGAGAGTAAGCTTTATCAACAGGTTGAATTGAATATCTGAAAACACAGATATAGTGACTTTTATTACGCAACAATGTACAAGTTACAAAGTATGGCAGAAATGAGAGAACAAATCTTACAAATCAGTCTACGTAATACAATACTAGGTGATATGGGATGAAAAGGCGCTTATACAATCATTAAAGAATTTCTTACGTTTAGACATTCTTTAAAATACTGTCCTATATTCACAATGTATGGATTGTCAAAAGTCAACAAGTATCTGAATTTAGGGCAGGTTGATTCACTTATGGTGGAAATTTGTTGTTTTCTCCACCGTGATGGGTTAATTACAATTCTATCACTGTTTGCGAGTTTTACAGGTCAATCATAATTGAATCACGGCTATGTATTACACGTCACCCTACACTATACCATGATCAGTCGCTGTATAACGGGAGATTGGATCAACCGTAATAATTGACAGCTCTGGGAATAGCAATTAGAGTTTTCTGTCACAACCGTACTTCCTGTGAATTGAATTTCGTGATCGTAGCCAAGTCAGGAGACTTCGTGTGAATGTTTAAGGCATGTTACCGAGCGAATGGTTTGAATTGTCACCGTTTTTTCTGTCTCTTACTCGTTGGTTTCTGTTAAAAACGGCTTTCTTTAAAAGGGGGATTTTGACGACATTTTAACTTTTAAATTTAAAAATATCCATAGTTCATCAGCGCGGTCATATTTGAAAAATCCCTAAGACAGAAATCTGCGGAAATCGTTCCTCTTCCAAACAAGACCTCAATGAGGTAATTTGAACGATTTTGGGGAGTGGTTAAAATACAATGTTTGCACGCGTGCTTTGCTACTTGGATATGGGGACCTGGATTTTATAAGAGTGCATAAACAAGAATTCTGACCTTCAAAGTCACCCACGATGAGGGCAGTAGCTTCGTTACATGTTACATATCCACAATAAAATCACGGCATACATGTAACGTCTTGAAAATGGTTCATATTTGTAGAAACGTGTTTTGTTTTTCTGTTCAGCGGTTCCCATGTAAAAAGTGCTTGCAGTAGCGGGTTGCAGCGGCTTTACTGTAAATGACCGCTGGTAACCCCAGTTCGAACGCCTTATACTGCTTTTAAGGAAAGAGTTGTCAACCCCATGTTTAAGATGTTGGTTTTTTCACCTAGAACTATCATTGACATCAAGTAACAGTGAGGTATAGGAGGTTACCATGTAATCTTATGTTTCAAAAAGCTCTGATAGCATTTAATGTAACATTTTAATGTCTTGGGGTGGTGGGCCTACGGCGCACAGACATATCAACTTCGTATATTTAAATGTTAATTGTACCTTTTTTGTTGTGTGGCGCTGTTATAAACTTGAGTGCAGCGTCACACTGTCCTTGTTATGTTTTTTTTTATGAATAAAAAACAAGTAACAGTGGTGGCGTGCTCAGGATATGCACTAGGGTACTTGCAGTTAAGGTAAAAGTGTAAACAGATTTGTTCACCGTCAAATAACCAGCTTCTGCCGCGCCGCGTGCCTGCGAATTTGGCGTACATACACATACATCTTCTGACATCGGGATAAAGTACAAAACATTATACGTTCAATATATTACACATGGAAAAATATATTAGTTCATCTCGATAAGAACGAAATTGCAATAGACAATGAGCCATGGCTTATGCCTGGTCCTACATATAAGGACTGCGAGAATGTTTTCCAAAAGCGTGAATGCTAGGTCAGTGACACCATGGCCAGCCGGGATTTGAACTCCCAACCGCTTGGTCCAGATTCTCTCCAAGCAGAGGATTGGGTTGGGTTTTTTTAGCGTGTTTTTAGGCTTTTTTTATCGGGGTTTCTCTTTTGCACTGATTTTTTCCCTATCAAACCCAACGTTTCTTAAATAGGTTTGGGGGAGTGCCGGCAGAGGTTGGGTTTGGTGGGAAAAAAATTCAGTGCAAAAGAGAAACCCAGATAAAAAAAGCCTAAAAACACGCTACGAATACCCCCCCAAAACCCAAATCTCTGCTTGAAGAGTAGTCCAGAGTCAGTCTCGCCATCACTGCCCACTACACTGCTAACAATAGCTGAAAATCGGAGACCTCCCAATTCACGAAATCTCCATCAGATTAAAGAATTGTTCTTGATGCCAATCAAATAAAAATGTAAATAATTAGATAAAAGGGAAAACGTAATAGAATCATTTACAGAACTACCTAAAGGGATACTGTTTTATGCTATAGAGACTGAAAAAAAGGATGTATTTTGCGTTTCCTACCGATGACAAACAGGTACAGTCCCACGATGAGGTGGTCGTATTTGTGAATGCCGTTCTTGTCAGTTTCCGTCCACTGCCACCCGGCCACATCCACATCTTCCTCAGGCTCATACGGCGTCTCTGTCGGAGCATCCATCTCTGGTTTCTCCCTCGACGTCGCCGCACCGCACTACTTCCACAACATGGTCTTAGAAATATCTGGTAGCAACCAAAAACACATGTGGACACCGCACGGCCGCCTGTTGATTTGTCTAGACCTATCTTGTCAAGGCGAGCTTGTTACGTATACGGTTGGACACGATCATTCGGTTCATAGGGGTGTTTTTGTTTTAGCCAAATGCTTTATTTCTATCAAAACCTATTTTGTGCGCTATGAATCGTTAAAATTTAGTGCGTTATGAAACAAAAAGTGTCAGGGCGCTTGTCAGCAATTTCCTGACATAAAAAAATGCTTAACATATAGCTTTAATATCTATTGAAACAAGAATTCAGAGATCTCAGATCTCCATGAAAAAATCATATCTTGTGTGATGGTGACAGTGTCATCTTCTCACAATGGTGTCTCCTTTTTTATAACAGTTTATTTCTAAAAAGCCGCCTTGCAGCCTGTACAAAAAAATGCTGAATAACACTGATTTTTTACAGTTACTTGTCTGGCAAATACAAATTAACCTTGCAATACACACGAAGAAAAACGTTCTTTTCTGCCCAAGGGAAACAACACCAGCTGTCAAGGTGGTCATGTAATGAAAAACACAAGCTGTAGACTTTCTTACTCTGGGACAGATTGAACCCAACCATATCCATTACAACCTAAGTGCCATGCGTAAACACACACACACACACACACACACACACACACACACACACACACACAAAATAATACCTCCATTTTTCATGGAGGTAAAAACCCACATGCAAACCAATGATTGCACGTGTATCTTTCCTCACGCTGTTTTTTTTTTAATATTATAACCTCACGTGTAAAACGTGCAGGGTGTCATGTGAAGAAAACACGTAAAATTCATATATTCAAACCTTTCTGGATTTTCCGATTGCATATTGATCAAACCTTCGGATATTTGAAATAATCAGAATATTTTGTTGTCTGGACTAAAAATCAGACTACCGGAACATTCTCTTATTGTTTAGTATACATGTACCATGATTTTAAATGATGAGCAGTATATCATTTGATCTGTAGTTTACTAGAGACAAAAAAAAAACGTTTCCAGGCTTTGCAGTGTGGTCACGTGTACGCCCTACTTTTCCGACTCATTTCCTACGGCGTCAGACAAGGCCGACATAAACATATATTTGAGATGACATATTTTATTTATAACTAAACAACTACAGCAACAACAACAAACAATAACAGCAACAAAATATGATTCAAATTACAAATGTACATTTTTCACACGTGGAAATGAATGTAAAGTACAGAATGGATAGTTGAGGGTACCTAAAATTTAAGCAGATTTCCAACAAAAATCATTGGAGTGAAAAGCAAGGTCACACTACTCTCTGTGCCAATCTTCGTAGCTTGACTGTCCTTGATGGCACTAGTACTTCCCAAGTCTTTCTCTATAGCCCTTGCTTGAGTCACGCAGCGCCAATACACTGCAGTATATAGGGGACTGGTTCATTAAGAAATGGTTCTCCTGTTCATCAAATCAAAGTTATTTTTGTAATAAATCTCAAGTGCTGAAGGGAGAGTGCAGTGTGCTCAATTTAGCTAGTACTTTTGGCATGACCCTGGCCTGGTTTCAAACCCGGGCCATTAATTTATTCAAATGCAACGCGAATACTCAGAAGACTGATGCACTAGTTTTACACCCATGCGCCCTACGTACGTGTATGATTAAAACGTGTGTGTGGGTGGCGTTTGTGGCCTTTCTCAGCACTGGAACACCAGAGCTGAAGTGGTACTCATTTCCAGTGCTGAGACTTTCTGAGATTGACGCACAGTCACACACACTCACACACACAGACGCACACACAGACGTACGCACAACGTTTTAAAAAGCTCCATTATAACAGCCACTACTGGCCAATTACACTGTCAAGTGTCACCATTTCCCACAGGCGCAGAAGGCCCAGTTTGACGAGTGCATCCAAACCAACTGAAAACAGCCTTTTTCTTGGTATGTGTGGATAAATGCTGGCTGGAGCTTGAGTGTTATTTCTATTTCTATTTTGTTGAAAAAAAGGCTTTTAATGCTGTTTTGGCTGCTTGGTAGAGCTCTAAACCTAATCTCATCTTCTTGTGTTTTGGTGATCTTCAAGGGGGTCAGAGGTCATGCTGCCAGTGTTTGCATTTCTCTTGCTATATTCCGCTGGTCAAAAAGTGAAATTGTTGGACTAAATGGACAATTTGGAAGTTGGACTACCCTGTCAATGTGTGTTTGCAATAGTTGAACACTCAAGTAGATGATTTTTGACAGCTGAGTTCTTAGATGTTTTCCATATATTCCAATGGGGGCTGGAATTAGTGGGCTGTCCCCTCAAGAGTTCTGTATACAGTAAGGACTGTACGTATGTTATTTAGATTAGGGTTCAGTCTAGGACAACAACAACAAACAATGCGCCATAAATGTTTCACAAATAACAAAATTCTTATGTTCCGTTTATATTCTCCATTTGTCATTAACTAGCTTGAATGTTTTGATTAGCAAAGAACGCACAGTAAGTAAGTAAAGAACGCATAGATCACATAGCACTACCTGGCTATACAAAACTTCCCGACAGATGTTACATATTTCTCAAAATCAAATTATGTCTGGATTATGTCAAATCTTTGTTCTTGTAACATTAAGTATTTAGTTAAAGAAACGCTGTATCGTATTTACGGAACTATCTTGCAGTGTCTCATTGCAAGACAATTTATATATTAATTAAGGGATCTAAACCTTAAAGAAATATCTCTAAGGATGCTACCGAATTATTGTTTAAGGAAATATCTTGATACTAAATGTGTGACATATTGATCGAATGTTCTAGCTGTACGCTTCATTAGTCGTAAGAACGCACATTTAACCTTTTGGACGTTACCAAATTAATACATATTTTTGGATAGCTGATAAAGCAAAATTTATTTTAACAGTAAATTCATTATAAGGTTTCATTCAAATACTTTGCATGGAAATTAAAATGTGTATATGAATGGTATCTTTATTACAATGTTTGTCAGACAATGCTATCATGAGTAATATTTTGGCTGACATTTTAAGTTCTTTTCAGCTATGTCACGACATAAAAACGACAGAAATTCTAGAATGCTTTTGAACATGCAAGTTCACATTTCATTCTGGAATTGTAATTTTGATTCCAGAAATTTTAGTCGTATTTAAGGCTAGTTGTAAAAGGCACCACGAAAGCAACAAAGATATCCATGAAAATCATTATGAGCTTTTTTCCAAATGAACGTTTTGCCTTTTTGCCCTTTCCTAATATTATAACAAGATATGTCATCCAAAATGTTACCAAAATGTCATTTCAAACTTTCAACACAAAATAAAGGAAACATCTTGAATAGAATTTTGTCCCGATTCAATAATATCACTTTGAGCAAAGTTTCTGGATATTTGATACATAAACTTTTGCTAACTCTGTAAGTAGTTGAAAAATAATAAAAAAAAACTCCCAAATGTATCATTTTTTGGTACTAACTGCTTTACGTACTAAGTAAAAGCATAGGTAGGAGTAAAGCTTGGTAATTGCTGTGTTTTATATGCAATCATTGTAATATTGTTTTCAAGGAGGGTAAGGCATTTGGGATTTTTAAATCTTTTTTTGTACACGATTTTTTTACCTTTAGTCAAGAATACCATAAACCATCAAGTACATCCAGAAACTTTGCTCAGTTTCAAATTGTAATAAAATGTAACACAGAAAAAACGTCTTGGATATAATGGTCTTAGCTAAATAACAATACGACCAACGTTTTGGATGATTGTTGAATGTATAGATTTTTAGATTTCTAATTTTGAAATAAAGAATGAGACCTGGTTTTGAAGTGACAGGTTTTAAATCAATGTACACCCTGTTTCACAAACACTGTAATGCGTTGCAGATGGGAACTTATTTTCATATGGCCCAGCGTTTAATGACAAATAAAGCTTCATGTGAAGGTGCACGCTACTTCATTAACATCTATATTGTTTCTTGGCTGCTACTGGCCCAAAATTGAGAAACATTTTAACTGTTTATACTACTTCTGAAGTTTTTTTTTCATGGGGGAAACATGAACTGTAGATCATCCAAGACGATGCTCGACATGCTTTTTTACACAGCTGTCACATATACATGTACACACTCACACCCAGCTGAGGGCACAAGGTGGTCTTCAGTTGCCCAAAGCTAAACTTGAATACTATGGGGCGGCACTGTGCAACAAACTACCACATCATCAAAAAACAACCATAACCCTAACAGCCTTAAAACAAATGTATGCAATTAACAATCATTGATATGCAAATTCAATCCTGATTTCATTGTATGTTCTATCTTCATTGTACATTATATGATGTTAAGGTTACAATATTGTTTCTCTTATTTTGGTAGTATGATCTTATGTATCATGTATGTTATTTAAGTTTCTTTGATTCTGTATCAATTTTTAATCTGTGTAACTTTTTTTGAAACCTACGTTAATCTTGATTTTGTTAATAGATTTTGTTAGGGGTTTTCCCCAAGGAACCATTGAAAAACGCCATCAAGCGATATGCATTTCCTGGATAAATAAAACAAACAAACAATCAAACAAAGAAACAAACAAACCGTTATAATAAAACTGGCGACTGGATCTAAAAATAAAGGCTGTGAGGCACAAGCCATAGGTATGTTTTCATCATGACGTTACTGGGTGTTACACAAAACTTCACACCAATTTTCTCTACTCCCCGTCCTCTTCCATGTTAGGCAGACCCTGGTAGGTCCACTTGTCACGGCGGGACCGCTTCAGGATCGTGGCCGCGCCGATCACCAGGAGGGCGAGCGCCATCAGGACTCCTCCGGCAGCCATGGTGGTCCAGAGTCCACTGCGGGGACCAGGGCCGGTAGTCTGACGGCCATTCTCCATGTGCAGAGCGTCTGCAGCTAGACAACGAAACGTTAATCCATTAATTATTGTGTATTGGTTTTATTACCATCTTCCTGTCTTTCAAAAATACATCTATGACACGTGATGCTGCATGTTTGCATTGCGATAACCAAAAATGTAAGTATGTTGATTATTTAAAAGACTCAGAGCGTTTTTAGATCGAAAATTATAATATTATAAAATCAATAAAATTGTATTGATTTTCTTCACTATTTTCTGTCTTTTCAATCACATCTATTTGTTTCATGTTTTGTTTTTCTGGCTTTCAACCTGTGTGAATTTTTACTAAAGTTCTTACACGGAGGATAGTGTTGATTCTTAGATTCTTATACTCTCTTTTTTCATCTATTTCTTTGTGGGGATGTGTGGCGCAACGGCGTGCGCGAGTCGGAATTAAGAGGTCCCGGGTTCGAGTCCTGACATGTCACCGATCTTGTGCCCTTGGGAAAGGCACTTTACACAACTTTCCCCACTAGACTCAAGAAGTGAAAATAAGTATTGTCTGTCCAGTATTCGTTTCTATGTGCGATACACAACACCAACAACAGCTGTCTCTGTTTCTAGTGTATTGCACTGTTGCAATTTCAATAAATTAAATCAAACAAGAGTTCCACGATCTCATACCTTCGCCAAATGATGTTAACCCTTGCGGTTGATGAATTACACAATTTTAATCATTGATTTTATAAATAAGAGCCTCATCTGCATGGATTGTATCAGTTCAGCATGTTCTCCACCAAATGACAGCCTTATCTTGACAAAAAGGATATTATAGCACTTCCACATAAATTATGCAAATGAGGTCATGATTTGAATAAATTATGTTTATTTATGTTCACCTTCACTTAACTTCCAAATGTGGCAAGTATGAAATTCGGGGTGCAGCAGTTACAACTATGGAATTATAAGAATTTGCCATTAATTATGCAAATTAGGTCCTTATTTACATAATCTATATCCTCAGATGTTTTTCTCGTTCTCAAGTAGATGTCACAAGTGTTTCATAGTTCTATTATCGAACAAAGCAGATTTATAGAATTTCCTCATTGATTATGCAAATTAGCTCTTGATTTGCATAATTGCCATCTGATTATGTCAAGCATCACTTCAACTACCTACATACCAAAAATCACGACAATACGTCAACCGGTTTTTGAGATATCGCCCTTCAATTTTTTTTTCAACAAATGCTCCTGCAGTTCCAGAACAAGGCGCTAGGGGACCCAAACTCATGTCACTTTTTCCCTACCCCAAGAGCTATCTACTAACCAAAATTCGTGACCCTAGCATGTCCAGAACATGAGATATCAAAACCGGAAGTTCAGCTGCAGTACCTAGGAAAGCTGCTAGGGGACCCAAAATCTAATCATTTCTAGGTCTTATGAAGACCTACCCACCTACCAAGTTTCATTTCAATCCATCCACTGCTTCTTGAGTTATCTTGCTAAACCACACACACACACACACACACACACACAAACACACACACACACACACACAAACACACAGACAAACGCTACTGAAAACATAACCTTCTTGGCGAAGGTAATTAAATCGAATCTATTTCTTTAAAATTGCAACAGCAATACATGGCCGTCCCAGGCAGCCAAGACGAATATTGTGTAAAAAATGCATGACATTTCAAAAAGATCATCTAGAAGGATAAATAATAATTTACAGATAGAGCAATGTCGGTGTTGACCTTTCAGACAGGAAAATGTAAAAACTGAATAAAGTCTTGTACCTTCTTTGTCATCATCCAGAATGATTGGTCCCTGGTAGATCATGTGACGTCCCCTTATGTCAGCATGTCCAGCAGCCCTTTTGCCCCTCTTGACGCAACCCTGGGGGAAAGTTAGTAAGATATGTTATTGAGATAGAACTAAACCTTGCAACAACAAGAATGAACTTTCATCTTCTAAAATATTAATTCGCCCTTTTGCCACGAATTTTTAGTCTGGTACCTTATTCTGCAAACTAAATTGTCCACTTTCAATCTGCGTGGTTATATGTACGTGGGACAGCTATCATCTAAGTTACATGAGAGCCAGATCAACAGTTGAAGAAAAAGGGAGGGAAAAAACAACGGCTTATACACAGACAAGACAATGACGTTGGTAATCACATCAAAAGCAAGTCTTCAGACCTCCATGAAAGTTTAGATCTCGTGTGATATATAGTGACTGTGTCCTCTTTTCATTCACCATGGTGTCTACGGATCTTTGCCATGCAAGGAAAAAGCACCATATGTACAGGGGTTCATGTAACAGGAAATACATGTGAAAACAGCCAGCTCTTTCAGATGTAGACGTGACTAATGACTTTCTAGCTCTGGGAAAAATCATATCCGAAATGAAGAATTGTGGAGTAGGGCAGGACAGGAACCGGTTGCCATACAGATCCTGAAAAGGAATTAAAGCTGGATCGGGCACACCGTCAGAAAGCCAGCTGACAGCACCACCAGGCAGGTGCTGACCTGGAACCCCAGAGGGAAAAGAAGAAGGGGTCGTTCTAGAAACTCCTGAAGGCGAGACACTGAGAGGGAGCTGTCTGAACTGGGAATGCGCTGGGAGGATGTTGAGAGGGAAGCCCAGAACCGAGCTGGATGGAGGAAAATCGCCTGTGGCCAAGTGCCCAGGAAAGGTAAGGAAACAAACCTGTGCGCAGCGGGATCCAGAGTCAGCGGCGTCACAGACCATCACCTCACAGTGCACGTACACCGTCCTCACCTCCCGGATGAAGCGGAACGCCTCGAAACCGAACCGCTCCTTGCCGGGGTCGTCAACGTCGTAGGTCTTCAGTGTGGGGTCAGAGGCACAACTGGAAAGAAATAAAGAAAACATTTACTTGTTATAGGTTCCAAATAAAAAAAAGCTTGCGATTATAGTGTAAAAAGATGTTTTAAGTCTTGTGTCTGAACTGACGATGAAGTACCAGTGGCAATCATCGTGCTTGATCAGTTGATGGCTTTTTAAGTCACAAGGCATGGTTTGCCGATCTAGTTACAAGCAAACTTGCCGTCTTACCGTAAAGACTGCTATTTCTAGGTCCCTATTTCCTCGTAAACGTATACTAAACAAAAGCCGACCACTTGTCCAACGCGACTGCAACTATATTTTAGGACCGCACATGGCCAAATCGTCTCTGACGACGACAGCGTCGTTTTCAAGCATGTGGCAGACTTTTTTCATCATATCTATCGAGAAAGATTAATAGAACTGGCCATTTTTTCCATTTATTTCAACAGCATATGGCGGCCATTGCCCAATGTAAAAGTGGTGGCGACTGAGTCAGTTCGGCAGTCTATTTTAAAATGGGTGGATTTGTAAATGAAAGTGTTATAGATTTGCGAAAACATATGCTCATAACGTAACGTTCCTACTAATAAAAAAAAGGCTCTAGTAATATGCATACTACAAACATAACATCAGACATTTTGCCTACCCGTCTCTGATGAGTTGATACTGCAGACTGTCGTTAGGTGAAGGTGACATGGTGGCCTTACAGTTCAGCGCCAGTACGGACAGTTTCTGCCCGTGCCCCTGTACCTCCAGCTGCATGTAGACGTGCTGGCGCAGCCTGAGGTGGATGGGGTACTGGTCCGCCCGGTACTGCCTCAGGTACTGCCGAGTGGGGAACATGGAGAGCCGGACCTCCAGCTGCCCGAACCCCTCCTCCGTGAAGTTCAGGCCGCCCGGGATCGGCAGGAAGGTGGAGTCTACCCACTCCTGACGCTCGTAGTTGCACCTATGTACAGTATATTTCTTTATTAGTTATTTTAATTATTGTACAATATACATGTGTGTAGTAGCATATTTTTAAATTTCTTTAAAGAACATTACATTTGCCATGTAGTACAAGACGAATAATTTTGTGTATGTTTGTTTGTTTGTTTGAACTATTCGTTATCCAAGACGACGCAAAAGTTGTTTTCATGGACGTCATGAGGGACGAGGTAACGTTTGGAAAAAAATACAAAACAATCGTTAAGCATGCATTTTACATTATTTAAAGTCAACATAACGATCTTTGACCTTACCAAATATCTCTATTAATCTAATTATTCTAATACTGAATTTTAGGATTTCATAATATGCAATTATTGTGAAACAACTAAAACCTATTAAACCCTAATAACATATATTTTCCTGTACAAAAGCGATTTGATATCATATATGGACTTGTAAAGAATATTTAATATTTACTTGGAGGTGATGGAGATGTCGCTATCGCGGGTGATGACGCCAGTGTTGAAGTGGATGCCCAGGATGTTGATGGTGTTCACGAATTCGACGTACCTCGGGCCGAACTTCACCTAGAGGGGGGTGCAGATTATTTCAAGTTAGACCGCGCTGTCTTATTTTATGCAGGATATACGCTCTCTTACAAATTTTCGATTTCTTTAATATCTTCTAAGCTTTATTACGGCTATATCTGTGAATTAGCAGCATTTTTGGGCTAAATTTTTAATTTTCGTCCTCTCGTGTTAGTCTTTATGTCTCAAGAGGATTTTCTCTATGCAATTTAGTCTGTGTGGTCTTAATGAGACTCATGCTACACCAAGAACTGGGTCTTGTGTATGAAATCACAGTTTATACTTGTTTCATGATAGTATTATCAACGTATTGAGGTCTATTCCATGAAACGATTCTTGGTACTCGTACCTGTGTACCACAGCCGTACAGTTGAGTACGGAAAATGTAGTGAGTGCCGTTAGTCGTGGCGCCACAGTTCCGGTCAGGCTCCCAGTGTAGGTTGTTCAGGTCGATGTCAGTCAGTTGATCCTCAGGAATAGACAGTTCCATGTACTCATTGGTGCACGTGGTAGAAGCTGTGGAAGGTAGACAGAGATTTCCATTTGCAAAGAATGATGCTAGCTAAGAATTATGTTGTTTTATATTTTGCCTTCTGTCGATGCAGCATTTTTAATACACGTAGCAACTAACAATTTGAAAATTAAATCACTTCCATTTTTCTCTGTGAAAAATCTAAATTACTGCTCTTTTCCTTTTCATTCTTTAGAATTTGCACATGCAAACGACAGTCTCTAACAGTATTTTAAAAGGCATAAGGTGTGGATATGGCAATAATTACAAAAGTACAAAACAACACAAAACTGTGTTTCTTAAGTCTTGGCAAAACCTGATAGCTTTACCTGAAATATCTGCTGGAGGTGTCGGTGGCAGTTCTGTGTAAGGGGATAAAAGATGAAATGTACATGGAAGTTTTGCTTTAGAGAACAATACGATACTACTACTAACTGAAGTTTAACAAAAATGAAATATATTTACAAAGAACTAGAATTCCGAGATCTCATACCTCCATGAAATATGATCTTGATATGTAAATGTAAATTTCTTCTTTAATTGTGCAAATGACCTCTGCATTAACATGATATATGCATCGTGATGTATGTTAACTTTTGATTAACTTACAGATGTCCCAAGTATGACCTTCTCATCATTCACCATTACGAAATCAAAGAGGTTTCGCATTAATTATTCAAATTAGGTCATCATTTGCATAATTAGTATCTGTTGAAGTTCCACCTGCCATAGGTTACATACATTACATGTATGTAAGTAGTATAATGTAAAACACTGTAATTATAGAATTTCCTCATTAATTATGCCAATTAAGTCCTCATTTGCATAATTTGCATTTAATTATGTACATCTCTCTCTCAGCTACCTACACACCAAAAATAATGAAAATATGTTGTTCCTGTCTGGACTTATTGGCTTTTAAACATTTCGCCAGAAAGTGCCCTGCAGTTCCAGAACAAGCCGCTAGGGGGCCCAAACTCATGTGACTTCTTCCCAAGCACGAGAGCTACCTATCATCCAAATTTCATGACCCTAGCATGTCCAGATCGCGAGATATCAAAACCGGAAGTTGCGCTGCAGTACCAAGGGAAGCCACTAGGGGGACCAAAATCTAATCATTTCCAGTTTTCGTCACACCCTACCAACACACCAAGTATGAAACCAATCCATCCAGGCGTTCTTGAGTTATCTTGTTGACCAACAGACGGACAGAAGGACAGACGGACAGACGGACAGACGGACAGATAAACGCAACTGAAAATATAACCTCCATGACACATTTCATGGAGGTAATAAGACAAACTAATACATAAGGTTTTGGAAGCAACAACAGGGATCCCCTAGGACCCCACCAGGGACCCAACAGATGCCCGACTGGACTGTAAGAGCCAGTCAGCACCCTACCGCACCCCGCACGGGTCAAGACGGGAGACTGGCCGGGCATCGGACGGGTCCCAAACACAAACCATCAAAGGGACCAAATGTTTGTGAATTTTAGAATAGAAGACACCTCAGCGCCGGCCAAGACACAACCAGGCCCGACTGGGAGCCGTGAAGGAATATTTAATTGTGACCCTGACGCTCGACCTCATGACGCCGGCCGGCGTCAACAAGTGGACATGCCGCGCAGGCCCCGTTGGAAATGTGACTCCAGCTAGCTTAAAGAGCCAAAAATCTTGCAAAAATCCAACAGAACAACATCAATACAGATGCGGTGTGCAAAACTACGAAAACCACGCTCTCCTTTTTCAGCACTCCGTTCCAGTGCGGAAAGTGGCTTCAGCACTGGACTTCCAGTGCTGAATGGGCGTCAGCACTGGACTTCAGTGCTGAGGCGCTCTCAGCACTGGAAAAGCTGGCGTCAGCACTGGAAAAGGCACTTTACACGTATATTATCACACACAATGTAGTTCTTGAGTTCATTGCAGTGATGGTTGTTCCAGTGGTAGTTGAGCTGTGGGCGGATCTCCCCACATTTCCTACCCCCCCCCACCCCTTAATTAAACAGACAATCTCAAACGGCAGTTGTCTTTAGCTCGCGGACGAGACCAGAGTCAGGCGGCCTGGCGTGATCAAGGTGGGCCTGTAACCAAGTCATCCGGCAAGCATCCTAACCGGAATCAGCACGTCTCCCTCGATATGGATCCGCTGGGGAAGACGGGTGCCCAAGTGTGTGGGTCTCAGATTCGCAACATGTTATCCACCTTAAACAAATCCACGCATGCGCAAAGGCCACTATCCCAACCCTCTTTGCTCAGTTGTAGCAACTGACACGGTCATGATAACAATCGAAAAATCTGTATCTGTATATCAGTACATGAATCTGTATCTGATTGCAAATAAAGATCTCGAGTGATTGCTATAGACAGCACTACAGATAAAAAAATGTCGGATACATCTGCCGGAACTTACGTATCTCGCAAATGTAGTTTTTGAGTAGAGAGCAGTGATGGTTGTTCCACCGGTAGTTGAACTGTGGGCGGATCTCCACACATTTCTCCCCGTAAATTCTGTCCGGCTGTCCGGGAGACCAGTCGTTAAAGTCACCAACGCCCAACACGCTTCCGTCACTCCAACGGTACTGCGACTGTAGTTCACAAAAGATATTACCATAAGTCTTTCTTAACTGCATAATTCAATACGCACAAGAGCTACCCGCCATCTAAATTTCGTCACCCTAGCATGTCAAGATAGTGAGACATCAAAACCGGCAGTTCAGCTGACAAGCGCCAGGTGGCCGAAAATCTAATCACCCAAAGACCTACCCACCTATCAAATATCAAGATAATCCATTTCGGCCCTTTCAAGTGATCGTGACACACACACACACACACACACACACACACACACACACACGAACGCCATGAAAACATATTTCTTCTTGGCGAAAGTAATAAGAATTAGTTGACCATCGTCACCAAGTCTTGTGATTTAATGTTGGAATAGGGAAAAAACTCACAGCAGGGGCAGTCAGATCATCCAGCCCGATCCACGTCTCGGCGGCGTAGGTGGTTCGGATGCGGTTGTCGATGAAGGTATCCAGTGCAGCGGATTTGATGACCACCAGACGGGAGCCTTCAGCTTGGCAGGTCTGTCTGGCAGCTTGGTAGGATTTTCGGTCACCTCTGGTAGAGAACCTCACACACTTTCTTTCCCCGTTCACCACGACGTGTTCGTAGTTTTGCGGACAGGGCTCTGTACATGTAGACGAGAATTTGTGGTGAAGTTCAGAGACGACTCCTCATTTACAGCCATTAGGAGGCCCATATTAATTTGACCTTGACCTTTGTCTTCCTACGACCTACTAACATGGCAAATATCATCACAATCCATAAAGGCGTTCTAAAGTTATGCTGACTACAAATGTGCGAAAACTCAAAAACACACACACACACACACACACAGATAGACAGGCACACAGACACGCCCAAAACAACACCTCCATTTTCCATTGGAACGTTTTCATTGGGGGGTAACAAGTGCCCCCTCAACCAATTTCATTTATGATTTTAACAATCATAAGTTTAAAAGTTGCGACCTCTTTAAAACTCGACATTTGTTTTTCTATTCAGAATTTCACAGTTTGATTTTATTCCATTTATTAAACTCAAACAAAAATACAACCCTGACAGTCCCATAAGTTAGATTCTATAATAACGAGTGAGCCCTCAGTTACAGTACACAAATGGATATGCATACATGTACAACAATGGGTAATCTTCATTGTTTTGCTCTGGATGCCACATTACAGCAATCTCTGCATGGAATATCTTTTTATTCATAAGTTACTTACTTGGTGCTTCATTGGGTGCAGTGGTAGGACCTTGGGTTGTAATGGTTGGTTTGACAGGTGCCATAGTTGTTACATTCCAGCCTACGACAGAGCAACAAGAACAAAGATTGTACTGTATGCATGAATGTAGTGATAGATCACATAAGGAACCGCTCTTCTATTTGAAAAAAAAAAGTTTTTTTGGCCAATGCAGTGCTGAGAGGTACTATTAGTGCCGAATCACTTGTATTTCTGTCACTAAAATTAAACTATTAGTAAATTTTACGCAATAAAAAGTTACCCGAGCAACTGGGTATGGTTTTTGGAAACGGTCTATTACAAGAAACTAAAACTGCACCTTCGTTCGTGGACAATATGAGCCTGTCCAACTTTACTTGTGAGTAAATAGTGGATATTTCGTTGTTAAAAGAATATCGAACCAAAAACAAATCCCCTATAATCTCCTTGTCTATATTCAAATACAAAAACTGCCTAAATTATAAATTACACAATTTATTTGGCTTTAATACCATGGCTAGCGGCTAAATATAAATCAAAAAGTAATTCTTTTTTTAAATTAAAAAAAAAGGAAATAAGCAACCAAATAAAGAAAACAACAAAATAAAGAAAACGGCCCACGATTATACCCATTGTTTTTCAATACCGTTTCTAAAGAATTATGAAAAAAATTAATCCATTTAACGAAATTGCAATAGAAGGAAGAAAAAACCTACAGAATAATAATCAAATTTGATTACGCTTGGACTAGCATACCGTGATTAGGATTCTGGGAACAGCAGAAGCGAACTTCATAGTCCTTGCAGTAGCGATCAGACTGGTGAGAGTTCCTGCAGGCAAGACCGATGTCCGTATCGTAAAAGTCAAAGTGTTCTCCTGTTTGGGAAGCCGGTACTTGGGACCCTCGGACGCGAGCCTGGATAGCCGAGGGAGAGGAGCAAATCTTTCCGGGGTTCTCCTGCCTTAGGTTCACTAATGTTTCGTAGTCGCCGTTGCCGCTAGGATTGTCACGGTCAAACCAACCTGTCCACTGGTCACAATCTGGGATAGGGAATAAAGAAAGATTGATATTTGCTTGCGAGCAAATACCACTTATTTCACCCACCCCAGGAAATGGAACAGTTCCGAAGTCATGCATATGCAATATAAGAACATCTCAAAATATTGTCTGACCGAAAAAGGAAAATCAATATTGCCAAGTTATGCAAATAGAAAAATTGTTCTTGCTGTTCAAGAATGGACTCTTTTAGAGGCACAAATTTTATGTTAGAGAACAGTCTGAAAAAATACCGCACCTGATATAAACTCTTTTATAATGATTGTCATAAAGTCCTAAATTGTATTTTTAACAAGTATGCCCCTCCCCCATTCCATGTATGATTTTTCTTTTAATTTTTATTTTACAGATGCGACGTAATGGACATTTTTTTTTCATTCATACTTTTACAGTTTGATTTTAATTAATTAATTATATTGCATTTATAAATATACAACCAGGATTGCCCAAAAATCCAGAGCCAATAATAACGAGTTATCCCTCAGTTACGGTACACAAATGGGTATTCATACAAC